GCTCCGGATGCGCAGGCCCAGCGGCCATGGCTCACGGGCCCAGCCGCTCCACGGCATGTGGGATCTTCCTGGACCGGGGCACGAACCCGCGTCCCCTGCATCGGCAGGCGGACTCTCAACCACCGCGCCACCAGGGCAGCCCTGCATTTGGTTTTTGTGTTTAACCTTTTTTGTTTAGAACAGCTCGTGTGCTTGTGCGCACACGAGCGCACACACGCACACACCCGCCACTACCACTCTTTCCCTCTCTGCACCCATGATACTGACCTTTTGAAGAGCCCAGGCTATTGTCTTGTGTACTTACTTTCTCACAGTCTGGATGTATCTGATTGTTTTTTCAAAGGGACATTCCCGTATTTCCTTAAACTGGAACTTAAGTCTTCTAACATTAAAAAAAAAAAAAAAAAAAGTAAAAATAAACAAGTGAAACTAAGTTTACTAACGTATTCTATCTAAAGCAGTAAATTCAAACTATTATAGTTTTAACAAGTAATTAATGTAGACGTTATGGAGATATTTTACATTTTTTATAGTAAGCCTTGGAAAGCTGGTATGTGTTTTTCGTTTTTTTTTAAACATCATTGTTCTTTGGATATATACAAATTAAAACCAGAATGACCAGAATAAAAATAGTAGTGCCGTCATATGTTGGTGAGGAAGCAGAGGCATTGGATCATGTTTTTGGGAAAATATACCAGACAAGTGAAAATTACGTTCACACAAAAACCTGTACGGTAATTTTAATAGCAGATTTATACTTAATAGTCTCAAACTAGAAATAACCCAGATGTCCTTTGAATGGTGAATGGTTAAGCGACCTGTAATAAGTGCTTCATACCATGAAATACTAAGGGAAAAAAAGGAACAAACTAGTGATAATACGCAAGAACTTGGATGAATCTGAGGAAATTATGATGAGTAAAGATAGCAAGCAAGCCAATGTCAAAAAGTTACATGTGGTATGATTCTATTTATATAACATGCTTGAAGTTACCAAGTTAGAGAAGGGAAGAACAGATTAGCGGCAGCTGGGGGTTAGCAGTGGGGTGGGGGAGGGAACAAGAGAGAAGTGGGTAGAGCTGTAAACGGTCGCAGCAGGATCTGTGTGGTGACAGTATTTTATATTGACTGTGATGGTAGACGCATGAAATGCACGTGTTGAAATAGCATAGAACTAAAGATAAACACGCACACACTTCTCACGTTTTACAGACCTCACTCAGATTAGGTCAGGTCACGTGCACGGCAGCCACGTGTGGCAGTGATGAGTGGGCAGCACAGCTCTAGAGGCGTGATTGGATTTGGGTTAAATATGCTTTATTTTTTGAATTGAAGATGCTCCCTACTGCATCTCATCATGTCCCACTATGCGATGCTAACCGTGATCCTGTGTCGAAGGCGTCAACTGCCAGGTTTGCCCACAGTGAGGGGTCCTGCCCTCCACAGGCACCGAGTGAGCACCCTGTTCCCCGCAAGCCTCCCCTCGTGGCTTTAGAATGATGGCCTCTTTCTCGACGCTGGTAGTCACATCAGGTTCGGGTTCGATCTCCTTTGTTCGTGCTGTAAATATAATAAACGTTAACCTTCAAGTGTAAACGATTTAGGGCCCAGGATTATTCACGTGAGAGCAGGTGAAAGAATGCGTGACTCAGCGCGTGTTTATTGGGCGGCTGTCAGGAGTGCGACCCTGACGCCCTCTTCCATTCGCATGGATGATGAGAACCCACACAGGGAAAGAGGTTAGTTGACACCTTTAAAAATACAACGTAATTCCAATCGTGGTCTGTTTTATTCCTTGCAAACCTTTGTTTTCTTGCAGAGTTGTAAATGAAGAATAACCAAGTTCTCATCTCCAATGGTTTTTTTTTTTTTTTTTTTTTAAACAAAAACAGGTGTCCACAAGAGAAGCCAGCACCAGGGACCTGATGATATTTACCTGGATGACCTGAAGGCGCTAGAACCTGAGGTCGCAGCTCTCTATTTCCCCAAAAGGTAGTGCATTTTAGATTGAAGAGTGGGCAGCTCTGAAATATTCTCTGTTTCTAGAGCAAAGCATTCTGTCTGAGAAAAAAGAGCATGGGGATGGTATCCTTCAGCTAATAAGTTGGATGATTGCTTCAGATTTTGGAAAATTCAGAAATTGTACATGTGTTGTTTTGACTGTAGTGATTTGAAATTAATAATTTACCTATTTATGAAAAGATTTTCAATACAGTAAGAAGGTAAGGTGTACTAGTGAAGCCTACATAAGGGCCTAACAGTGGATGTGACTTCAGTTTAGCAACTCCTGTTCATTAGCATTTGTTTCCTTTACTAGGTGTTTTAAAGGTAAAATAGCTTTATTCAGAGATGCTTTACAAAGAAGGCCTCCACTCTTCAGTGAGTCTCCGCTTGCAGTCCTGGGTCTAGTGGGGCCCCTTCTAGGGCCTGTGCACCCCTGGAGCTCAGCTCTCCGCAACCCCTGGCACCCCCTCCCCCTTCTCCTCCGTGACTCTCACCTTGGAATAACACCGAGATCTCAGCAGCGATAGACTTGCACTGTTTTCCCAAGGTCACTTCCATTCTTGGGGAAATTCCATGATAATACTCTATCTATGATTATAAAAAACAATTTACTTTTCTCGTGAGAAGTATGGCTTGAATATACTGAGCCACAGTCACGCATAATTAAACATTTTTAGGTAAATTATTGAAAAGCATGTCTTAAGTTTTTATTTAAAATAGAAAGATGGGATTGAAAAGAAGATACTTAAATTTTTACAGATAGTTTTGGAAGATCCTTAAAACTCCTTCCTAGCTTTCTGCCCTACATTTGTCTCCAAGTATCCACTTCCTTTTGAAGTAGTAGCTGGGTTTTTAAGGTGAGAAAACTGAAAACTGGTCCTTTTTTTTTTCCAATGAGAAAGTTAAAATGTAAGCTGTCTTAAGATTATCTCTTTGTTTCCAATCTCCCAGTCCTTAATCATTTATTTACGCTGGGATTCCTAAGACAGATTTCTTAGTTTCTCTTTTAAAAAATGGGGAAGCGTGACTACTGCAGTGGGGCCTCCCTGTGCTGTTATAACTTCACCATCTGGGACCGTTGCCATTCACCAAGCCTTACCTCAGAAGCTGGTTGTTTCTAGAGACATTCATAAACACTGAGAGACAGTGAGATTATTGAAATGCTTGTAAGCATTTGTTTTATCATCGTGGCCATTGCCGTCTTGACTGAATAGCCAGTATTTGTAATTAGAGCTCAACTTTGCCCTAAATCACATCAGTCTCATGGGTTTGGCGGCCTGTTGAGTCAGGTGGGTCCTCTGTGCATTTAAGTGGTGGCGTCGGTGAGGGTCACACCAGCTGCTCTGACTGATAAAACTCAAGACCTTGGTGGCTTGACCACAGCAGTTGATTTCTTGCTCACGTGATGCTGTTCTAGTGCTGGTGTTTGGTGGGAGGCCTTGCACACAGGGGCTCAGGAGCGCAAGCTCCTTCCATCCTGAGCCTCCACCATGCCCTCCGGGGCCTCAGTGGGGAAAGGAGAGGATCACGTGGGGCAGTTTACTCAGGGGCCCAGCTTGGGGAGGACACAGCAGACGCCTTCTGTCCACATGGACAGCTCAGTCATCTGATCAAGAGGCCACACGTAACTGCAGGGGGACCTAGCGTGTGCCTTGGAGGTTGAAGACAAGGGTGTTTGTGTTTTACTCCAGGGGTCGGCCTGCACTGGGGCCCCCGCGTAACAGCAGGTTTTGCTGCTTTAGGTGGCTTTGGCTTTTTCACCATTTCCAGTGAGGAACACATTCTGTTGATCCGATTGATCTCAGTATTGTGATATGTGTGTACATTGCTCTTAGGAGAGAGAATTCCCCAAAACCTAAAGTTTTCTTCAGAGGCTCAGATACAAAACATGATCATGTTCGAAACTGCTTTCTATTTATGACATATCTGTGCTGTGCTGCCACCTACTGTTCAAATTTCAGATTTTTCCCTAACGATCATATAACTTCACTGGATAGCATACATTCATATACTGGCTTTTTAAAAAAAAAAGTAAAAGAATTTGAAAATTCTAGAACAGTATTTCAATGTGACATTGAAATAGAGCAGTAAATTTTCATGACTAAGAGACTTACGGCGTCATTTCCTTGGGTCTTTTTTCTCTCAAACTTATGCTCCATTACAGAAAGTTTCCTTTAGGATCAGCTTCTAAAACCTTATTTAGAAAAGTGAAAATATTGAATACCCTCGACTTTGGTTCTGGCGCTCACTAGTGTAAGAACAGCTTATTTCTAGTTTCTCAGTACATTTTCTTTCTTGAGGTGTGTCTAGGCTCCTGAGAATTTTCACTTGGTTAATTTCTTTGTTGTATTTCGTGAAGTAACAGATGATTTAGAAAAGCCTTGTTTTTAAAAATAATACAACCTTGGACTACAGCATTTTCTACAGGATGTATATAGCACTGCGGCCTTTTCTAGGAAGTTAAGATCAAAAGGTTTTCAAACATCAGATTTTTCTTAATTACTCTGTCATTTTCATCATACGATGTAAATAAATGCTTATAACTCTTTTGCCCCTTTAAGTCAGAGCTGCCACCTTTGAAAAGTTCGCATTATTGTGAATGACGGTAGTGATGTTTGTGACGTGCTCGCTGTATCCAGTTAATTCCTCAGCAGTGCTGTTAGGTTATTTCAGGGTCATCTGTGATAGGATTTTCAGCACTCCCTAAGGAAAGCTGCGTCCAATGGCAGGTCAGCCTGCTCCTGTTCACAGCGCCCAGGGAGCCCTGTGGTTGGGAAGCTGGGAACGCGGGCAGCTGTGTGAAGGCCATGCTTTCCTCCCGCAGCGAGTCGGAGCCCGGCTCCAGGCAGTGGCCCGAGTCCGACACGCTCTCTGGCTCCCAGTCCCCACAGTCTGTGGGCAGCGCGGCCGCCGACAGCGGCACCGAGTGCCTCTCAGACTCTGCCATGGACTTGCCCGACGTCACCCTGTCCCTCTGCGGGGGCCTCAGCGAGAACGGAGAGATTTCTAAAGGTAGGCCAGCAGTCACGCCTGCCCCACTGAGAAAGCAGCCTTGAGCCGTTGTGGGAATCCAGCTCGCGGGGTCTTGTGCAGGTAACCGGGGTCCCCCTTTGCTGTCGGACTCTTGGCCCTTCACTTAGGTACCTTGTGTTGGGGTGACGCCACAGGTAAATGGGTGGGAGACGGCACGTGTCTGGGGCCGAGGTCTTGGGCGGCCCGCCTGCTGGGCGGCCGGGGTCAGTGCAGCTCTGGCCACCTTCTCTTCTGTAAGGTTGTTGGAAGAATAGTTGCGGGACTGGGGCCTGGCTGCCCCGAGTCTGAGACAGGAGAGGAGGGCCTGAGGCTGCCAAAATTGATTGTCTTCTGAGTAGATGGATGTTTCTGGCTAAAGGTAGAAGGGATTACTTTCTGTCTCATCTTGAGAGTTGGCGCAGGAGAGTAAAGGTGCTCAAGACAAGACAAGGGAGCTGCTTAGCGGGGCCGGTTCAGACGACTCTGCTGTGGCTTGAGCAGCCGTGTGTACGTCTGTCCCAGGTTATTTGGCCTTTCTGGTTTTCCCTCCTTTTGTAAACTGAACTCTTCTTAATGTTTTCTCAGTTTGGCTAGTGGCCCTTGATTGACTTTCCTCTAAGGAAAGATTTTCTTTTTACAACTAGCATCATCCTTCATCTTCTGCATGTGGCAGGCCAGGCACCCTGAGCCTCACGTCTGTGCTTCCCTGAATCTTCTTTTTCTTAGCGTCACAGGGTGATCGCTGTGCCTCTTTTCCACCTCTTAATTCTATTTGTTTGTTTTACTTTTTGCTAGAAATTAAGAGCGTGTTATTACGGCCAGTGGTTCCCTCTAGGGACAAAGTTAAATAGGTCACATTTTAATTATAATCCTCATAAGCCTTCACTTTAAAAAATATAGGTGGAGGAGGGGATATACAATTTATGTAAACTATAAAATTTATACTTAAAAAGAATATTGTTCACTTAGGTAGAGTTTGTCATTGGGGGAGGCAGAAACGGCAAGTAAAAGTAATAAATATACAGACTGCCAGGAGGAGCAACCCCAGGGAGAATTGCCTCTGTTGGCCTGCATCAGAGCGCAGGGTTGCGATCAGCATACAGAAATTCATGCGCAGCTCTCGTTTATTCTGCAAGAGCTTGGAATTTATTTCTTGACGAGACCCTACGCCAAATTCTGGTGTGTGTTTGGTTTCTTTCCTCCAAGCATTGTAAAACGTTCTGATTGTTTTTTCTAACGTAGCTTGTACTTGTGCACTTAACGCTGTAAGACCCCCCACGAGTATTCCCCAGGTATGCAGTCTCTCCTACTTAGAAGAATGAAGCTCAGTTTTCACTGGTTACGGAGTGGAGCGTGTGCACGTCTGTGCCTTCATATCTTCCTCCCTCTCGCCACATCTGTAATCTATTTTCCTAGGAGTCCTGGTTTATCCCTTTCTCCCATTTTTCTTTTTTTTAATTTTTTTTACATCTTTATTGGAGTATAATTGCTTTACAATGGTGTGTTAGTTTCTGCTTTATAACAAAGGGAATCAGTTATACATATACATATGTTCCCATATCTCTTCCCTCTTGCGTCTCCCTCCCTCCCAATCCCACGCTTCTAGGTGGTCACAGAGCACCGAGCTGATCTCCCTGTGCTATGCGTCCGCTTCCCACTAGCTATCTATTTTACGTTTGGTAGTGTATATATGTCCATGCCTCTCTCTCGCTTTGTCACAGCTTACCCTTCCCCCTCCCCACATCCTCAAGTCCATTCTCTAGTAGGTCTGTGTCTTTATTCCTGTCTTATCCCTAGGTTCTTCATGACATTTTTTTTTCTTAAATTCTATATATGTATGTGTCAGCATACGGTATTTGTCTTTCTCTTTCTGACTTACTTCCATTTTTCTTTGGTTGGTTGGTTGGTTTTTGGTTTTTAGTTTTGTTTTTTCCCATCTGCGGGAGGAGTGGTAGCAGAAGGGGGAGTAGAAAAGAAGTGTTCTTTCTTGTCCTGGGGGAAAAAAAACCTCAAGTGTCTGACATTTGCTTTTGATGCATATAGAAAAGTTAGTTGGTGGGTTTCTTGTTTGTTTGTTTTAAAGGACTTTTCAAAAATCTTATAGTCCCTTCAATGTAGGTAGTATTGTGATAATCTCATATGGGTATTTATTTATGTAATCTCTAACCAAATGGATAATTATTGTTTTACACTGCAGAGAAATTTATGGAGCATATCATTACTTACCATGAATTTGCAGAAAACCCTGGACTTATAGACAATCCCAACCTTGTAATACGGATATATAACCGGTAAATACTCTTGCTTTTGTAATTATTAAATACTCTTGCAGGTTTTTTTCCCCAAGTGCTGTTTTTAACCATTATAAAGTCTTTCTTGCTATAAAATATGACATTTCATATAAACGAGCTAATGGGCAGTGAGTGACTTTGAAGTGAAGGTAAAGCCTCAGCTTTATTTTCAAATGAGGTGTTGAAATGCTACTCTGTTTTATATTGGGTGGGCCAAAAAGTGCCTTCAGTTTTTTAAGTAAAATTAAAGGCACATTTTTCATTTTCACCAAGAACTTCATTGAACAACGTATTCACCCTTTTGTTCCACTACCTTCTGCCATTTTTCAGGCAACTTTGTAATTCCATCTTCCCAAAACTTTCTTTTTTGAGCAAAGAACTGTTCCAGGGGCCTTTTGCAGTCTTCCAGGGAATTGGAATTTTCTTCCATTAAGAGAATTTTGTAAAGACCAAAACGAATGGAAATCCGAAGGTGCAATGTCTGGTGAACATGGCAGATGAATCAGAACTTCCCAGCCAAGCTGTAACAGTTTTTGCCGGTCATCAAAGAAATATGCGGTCTTGTGTTATCCTGGTGGAAGATTACCCGTTTTCTGTTGATTAATTCTGGTCGCTTTTTGTCAAGTGCTGCTTTCAGTTGGTCTAATTGGGAGAGGTACTTGTTGGAATTAATCATTTGGTTTTCCGGAAGGAGCTCATAATAGAGGACTCCCTTCCAACCCCACCACATATACAACATCACCTTCTTTGGATGAAGACCGGCCTTTGGTGTGGTCGGTGGTGGTTCATTTCGCTTGCCCCACGCTCTCTTCTGTTCCACATTGTTGTACAGTATCCACTTTTCATCGCCCTTCACAATTTGCTTTAAAAACGGAATGTTTTCATTACATTTCAATAGAGAATCACATGCAGAAATATGGTCAAGAAGGTTTTTTTCCCTTAACTTATGTGGAACCCAAACATCAAAGCGATTCCCATGACCAGGCTGGTGCAAATGATTTTCATACTCATATTTTGAGTATGTCAGCCATCTCCCATGTGGTATAACGTTGATTGTTCTCAATTATGGTTTTGGTTTGATCGCTGTCAACTTCAGCTGGTCTGCCCTGACTGTGGAGCAGCATCCAGCGAAAATCTCCAGCACGAAACTTCACAAACCACTTTTGAAACGTTCAGTCACAGCACCTTCTCCATACACTGCACAAATCTTTGTGTGCGTTTCAGCTGCATTTTTACCTTTCTTGAAATCATAAAGCATAACATGCTGAAAATGTTGCTTTTTTCTTCCCGCTTCAGTGTTAAAATGGCTACACAAAAATTCACCAATTTTGATGTCTTTCTTTCTTTTAAATTTATTTATTTTTGGTTGCATTGGGTCTTCGTTGCTGCGCGCAGGCTTTCTCTACTTGCGGCGAGTGGGGGCTACTCTTCGTTGTGGTGTGTGGGCTTCTCATTGCGGTGGCTTCTCTTGTTGCGGAGCACGGGCTCTAGGTGCGCAGGCTTCAGTAGTTGTGGCTCACGAGCTCTAGAGCGCAGGTCAGTAGTTGTGGCGCACGGACTTAGTTGCTCCACAGCATGTGGGATCTTCCTGGACCAGGGATCGAACCCCTATCCCCTGCATTGGCAGGCGGGTGCTTAACCACTGCGCCACCAGGGAAGCCCCATAAGTCTTTTTTTAAATGCATGCTGATGTGACACCTGTCACAATACAATCTAACAAAATTGTTTCAAATGAAGTTAAAGACAACTGAGTGCTACTAGAGCCATCCTACGGAAATAACCGAGCAAACCTTTTGGCCCACCCAGTACATTGTGCTGCTTCTCTGCTCAGAGAAGTTTGGCTTGAAGCAAAGATTACTTATGTGGCAAGCAACTGAGCTGATCATCTTTTCATTGAAGAGAATAAGGCATTTTATGTGGTATTTCTCCCTCCCGCCCTCTCCTCTCTTGTGTGACGGTCTTGCACGGTTTTACTCTCACAGTTACTACAACTGGGCGTTGGCGGCTCCCATGATCCTCAGCCTGCAGGTCTTCCAGAAGAGCTTACCTAAGGTGAGATCCTCCGCTGTTTGTTGCCCCCCTCAGAGGTATCTACAGCATGTAGTGCTTCGAAAAATCCAGATGTGCATATTTCTAAACTGGGTACTGTTCAGTTTGATTTAATACTCTAAAATTAATATTATCACTCAAATTATCTCATACCCCAAAGTGTAGGAAATTACCTGGGCTGCCATATCTTTGCCATTTTTACTAGATATTTATACCGGTTTCTGATGATATACGAAGGTTGAGAGATTTTACTGATTGTTAGTTAAATATAGAATAAGTGAAAACATTTCCTCCCATTAATATGGAAAGAAGCAGCGAGAAGAGGGTGATGTGGCCGCCAGAAGCGTGGCATCGGTGTGGTTCATTCAGCTGGTGGTTAAAACATGTAGAACATGAAGCTTTGCTCTGAATCTGTCCACCAAGACGACATCATCAGCCTAGCTGGTCCTCATAACTCATGAGAACCACGTTTCCCAAGGGTAGAGAAATGAGAGCAGGCTGCCTGCCAGCCCCTAAGAGGGCTGCTCCTATGTAGCCAGACCACCCAATCTCATACCACAGAACTGCCACAAAAGAGGACACTGTCCATCTTTCAGAGGAGTCTGGGAGGTGTGGAAAGCGTTGCTCACCATCCTGCACATGAATGGTTGAAAGGAGTCGAGTGCCTTGTGACTGACAGATGGCTAGACTCACCTGTGTTGATTGTTTTCAGGCCACAGTTGAGTCCTGGGTCAAAGATAAGATGCCAAAGAAATCTGGTCGCTGGTGGTTTTGGCGTAAGAGAGAGAGCATAACCAAACAGGTAACTGAGCTGGAGGTAATCCTTTCCATGGGCTGAAAAGAAGTGAATCTTTGGTTTATTCAAAAGAAACCTTTTTGCCAAGCACAAGTTGGGCCACATAATGCTCTTTTAATAATGTAGTCACCGTGTTTAAACAGTTACGTGGGCAGGGCTGATGCTAGGTGCTTCCCATGCTGCATTACCTCTCACCTTTACGACAGCCCAGCAGTGTAGGTGTTTGGATTCCTGTTTTACAGGTGAGGAAGCTGGAGCACAAGGAGGTGATGTAGCTCGACCGAGGGCACGTAACTGGTGAGGGCTGGAGCTGGGCTGTGACCTTAAGTCTGCCCCAAGAGCTGATGCCGTTTCCACCGTGCCGCGTCACCGGCTGGAAGCCAGAGCTTGCCACCTTCCCCCGCTGGAGGGAGGGGCATCAGTCCCCCCGTTCTGCAGGTCCAGCATCCCTGCTGCGGACCTAGTTTTATTATGCTGTGTGACTGAGCTGGTGCTCTCTCAACAATTCCTGCCCCTGACTTTGTGGAGGTAGCTTTTTGCACAAACAGCATATGACTTCTCTCTCAGGTTTCTGTCTTTTGGCTCAAACTAGAGGAAGTTTGTTTCTTAAGCGTTTTTAAGTTGCGGATTCAGAAAGCGGTTTTGCTCGTTCCTGGAGAGAGCTACTGTACTGAGGAACTTTTGCTTGTCCGTAGGGGGAGAACTGCACATTGTCATTGTTATCTTGCCGTTCCAGCTGCCAGAGGCCAAGGAAGGGAAATCGGAGGTGCCGCCGCCCATCGACCGGCCGTCGAGCGCGAAGGAGCCAGCCAGTGGCAGGTGGGGGCTCCCCCGCCTCGGCCACTGCATTCAAGCTGATGTTGGCCGTTTTGTTTAATTCTTAGTCAGAAATGTCTTTGTCCTGTGGACGTGCATGACAGTCAGTGGCTTCCTTCTGCTGCTCAGTTAGCAGATGATAACTTCCGCTTTTCTTTAAAAAATATCATCAGCTTCAGGACTCCCCTGGCGGTCCAGTGTTAGGACTCAGCACTCTCACTGCTGGGGCCCCAGGTTCAGTCCCTGGTCAGGAAACCAAGATTCTGCAAGCCGTGCCGTGTAGCATGGGGGTGTGTGTGTGGGTGTGTGGGTGTGGGTGTGTGTGCGCGCGTGTGTAGACTATATCATCAGCTTACAGTAAATATACTCCTCACTGCTTCCTGAATACCTTGCTCCTGTCCTGGAGCCATGGACTCGGATGCCCTGAAATGCAGGCCTTGCATTTCAGGCCTTGCAAGATCTGGGAAGCAGATCTTGCGGAATTGTGAGATGTGCTGTCCCTGGTGCCCTGCTCCCTGGCTGTCAGGCACAGCAGGGGAGACGTAACAGGATCTGAGTTGGGCGTGGGTCCCTTTCATTTCTTGGAAGGAGTAGAGCTGCCTTGGACATGTGCATTGGCTGCCCCGTGGATTGGTGCCACGACATACCCCATTCTTGTTTCTACCACCCTGTTTCTTCCTCCATCAGGTTCTTTTCTCTTCCCTTTTCTCTAAACACTTGGGTTTGTCTATCTTCTTGCTCTTTACCCTCTTCTTTTGAAAGGACTGTATAAAATCTTGTTAGTTTCTTAAATCACTGAGAAGGATTTTAAAGATTTGTATCTTTAGAAACATACACATCCTTTTCAACAAGAATCGGCGGGCCTAGTAGCATTCACTGGTTGTAGCAGAAAATGGCCAGTCACAGTGGGCGAGTAACCGCCGGCCAGTTGTAGAGGGAGGAGGAATACGCAGGTGTGTACCCTGGGTCTGGGGAACGGCTCCTCCGAGAATGGATTTGGAATCTCTTTCTCTTCTTGATCCTAAATGAAAAGCTGTCGTCTGTAAAACGTCCCGCTGCCTCTTCAGTAACGGGGTTGTGTTGAACAGGCCGGCTGAGGAAGACTCATCGAGTGACGAGGGGTCCCAGGAGCTGGAAGAATCCATCCAAGTGGACCCCATCCCTACGGAGCCGCCGACCCACAGCAGCACCACCTCCTATAAGAAGTCTCTTCGTCTGTCCTCAGACCAGATCGTGAGTTGCATGTGGTCTGGGTGGATCCAAGTCACGTGAGCTCAGTAACTGTTTAACTCGACGGGTCTCCTCTCCTGTCCACCTGGCCCCAAGCCTTACACACGTGGCCCAGCGTGTGGTCGTGGAAATGCTCACCTACGTCCGGGACAGCAGCGTCCCTCACACTGGGACCACCTGAGGACCTGCAGCACGCTTCCTCCTCCTTCACCCCCGGGCCTCCCACCTCCGTGTCTGGGAGTGAACCAGGGCATCTGTGTTCTCAGCCTGTTGCCAGGATGAATGTTTTTTTTGTTGTTGTTTGTTTTTTTAAAGAATTGTGTTGCATTCTTTTTCCTTTTTTAATTAATTTTTGGCTGTGTTGGGTCTTCGTTTCTGTGCGAGGGCTTTCTCTAGTTGGGGCAAGCGGGGGCCACTCTTCATCGCAGTGCGCGGGCCTCTCACTGTCGCAGCCTCTCTTGTTGCGGAGCATAGGCTCCAGACGCACAGGCTCAGTTAGTTGTGGCTCACGGGCCTAGTTGCTCCGCGGCATGTGGGATCTTCCCAGACCAGGGCTCGAACCCGTGTCCCCTGCATTGGCAGGCAGATTCTCAACCACTGCGCCACCAGGGAAGCCCCCTCCAGGATGAATCTTATACGTCTGGCCCAGCACTGGGCCACACACTGTCTTTTAGGAGCCGCAACCATAGGGAAATGACATTTTCTTACTTAGATGCAGTTTCCCCCTTCCTTTTTATTTCCCACTCCCTGACTTCCACCCATTTTCAATATGAAATTGTCCTGCTGTGCTCCAGGGCAGTCCCAGGTACAGAGGAAAAGGTTGGCGGGGGGCGGGGTGGGTTGTGATCAGAAGAGTGCCTGGCACCTAACACACGGTTCAGGCAGTGGCTCGTGTGAGCCACGGGCGCAGCCCCGAGCCATCCTCCCGGAGCTGGGATCCTAAAACGCTGCTTCTGGTTTGGGGAATGTTCAGATTCTGTTGCAAAACTGTGTTTTCCGCTGATTTTCTTAGCTTTTTTTTTCTTTTTAAATAGTTACTATGTCTTGTGTATTTCCGTCCCTTCTTTCTGTGTTCACACACACACATTTACGTATTTAAGAGGCTGGGATCCTTTTTCACGTAACATTGTATCATAAGCAGTTTCTCTGACCACGTATTCCTGGAAAGTGTGACTTAATTGTTGCATGTAATTCCATCAAAGTGATGTGCTATTAATTTTCAAAACTCTGATTTTTATTCTTATACTTTTTATAAAAGGCAAAACTGAAGCTCCAAGACGGCCCAAATGACGTCGTGTTTAGCATTACAACCCAGTATCAAGGCACCTGCCGCTGTGCGGGGACCATTTACCTGTGGGACTGGAACGACAAGGTCATCATTTCTGACATCGACGGGACGATAACCAAGTAAGCAGGAGCCTTGGGGTGACAGGGAAGGGGGCCCAGCTCAGTGTGTGGTGGTGGGGGGGGTGGTCCCTCACCTGGGCAACCAGCCACCATCAGGAGAGTTTTTAAACTGTACACACTGAGATGTCCTGAGTGCAGTCCCCACAGAGTCATCTTATGGAGGGAGGAAATAGGTGGGACTGTACAGACGTAACGTCAAAAATGACACTTGGGGAATTCTCTGGAGGCTCAGTGGTTACGAGTGCGGTGGCCCAGGTTCAGTCCCTGGTTGGGGAACTGAGATCCCGCAAGCCGTGCAGCGCAGCCAAAAAAAAATATTAATGATAACTTCGGGGGGGATTTAGTTATTTTGTCTCCAAATTCTGGTATGGGGGGAAGAAGAAGCTGTTGAGATTAGGGAGGAGAAAAACAGGATGTGTGGTGGTCAATTCCCTCATGTCTGATTGCTCTTCTGCAACCCTGGACCCCTGGTGGGGTCCTTGTCTCCTGTGCACAGGCCAAGGAAACCACCGTTGGGCATTGTCCCTCTACCTCTCCCCCGTCCGGCAGTTGCTGGCAGCTCGTATTTAACTAAATAGGTAAACACTTGGCTTTATATGCTTGGTTCCTGATACCTTTGTCTGTTTCTGCCCTCTTAGGTCTGATGCTTTAGGACAGATCCTTCCACAGCTGGGTAAAGACTGGACTCATCAGGGTATCGCAAAGCTCTACCATTCCATCAATGAGTAGGTATCCCGACCCACGTGTCTGGTGAGCTAGAATTTTGCTTGAAAAAGCTAGAAAAAGAGTGTTCATCAGCCAGTCCACAGAAATCTTGTTCATGCGCCAGCTATTCCCGCTCTCCTTTCCCACCCCTTCCTAGAGCCTCACACAGGGGAAAGTGTGAGCCGCCATCTGTGGGACAGGAGCTCTGTGCCCGGCATGGTATGCGTTGTTACGCATGTTAACCTTGTCATCTTGTTTTCACAGGGCTGTGGGTTGTAGGCACTGCCTGTGTCTATAATCATAGCTGTACTTGGGGGTTTTAGCTGTAATTTAACAGGAGAGCCAATTTTCAGGTTTGGTTTTTTGAGTATTTTTAATTGTATTGCTTTAAGTAGGTAATGCATGCATGGGGTAATCAATTTACCATGGGGTCCTCTCTGTCAGAGTACTTTTTTGGTGAGAAAATAGTGCCTTGGCCTTTGTGGGATCCCAATACCTATGAGTTAAGTTGATCTGCAGAATTACAGTGTCTTAAGCACAAGTTGAAAATGTCATAATATGAAAATTATGAGTATGTCAGTTACCCAGGTAAAGTTTTGCTCCTTGTTTTATAGAATGATTTGCATTCTGGAAATTGCCTATATAAGTAAAATCCTTTGTGTCTTTCATCTATAGCAGATTGTTTAAAGATAACCTCAAATTTTTGTCTGTTTTGTAATTTGGTTTCCACGGACCAGATGCTGAAACTATATCATTACTAGTAAATTTAGCGTAATCCCTAGTTGCATGTACCTCCATTTTCCACCCACGGCGTTTTTGATGGGATGGTGAGATCTTTATAATCCTAACAATTTTTTCTATTAAATTTAAGAATTTGATTTTCGTAGTAAACGAGAGGAACTTTATTTGGACCTTTAAAAAGAAAAACGCATTTTCCCCCCTTTAGCCAAAGCACACGGGCTAAACAGGACGCGTTCTCTTCCAGGAATGGCTACAAGTTCCTGTACTGCTCCGCCCGCGCCATCGGCATGGCCGACATGACCCGCGGCTACCTGCACTGGGTCAACGACAAGGGCACGATCCTGCCCCGCGGCCCCCTGATGCTGTCCCCCAGCAGCCTGTTCTCCGCCTTCCACAGGTGCCTCTGTGTGCGTATGCGTGCGTGTGCGTGCACCTGCGCGCACACGGGGGCCTGACGAGAGCTTCTGCATCTTGGTTCCGTGTTGTTCTAACTCACACATAGCTCACCTGGTCTGTGTCAGACACGGTTGAGAAGTCAGGTTGGCAAAGAAGGAGAAAGACACCGGTTATGAAGGATTAAAAAACTGGTTGGTTGTGAGCACTGTAAAGTCTCTTTAGGACCACACACCAAGGAAAGCTACCGTTTTGGATTTGGTGATCATATTTGTATTTTCTTCTCCTAGGGAAGTAATAGAAAAGAAACCAGAGAAGTTCAAAATTGAGTGTCTAAATGATATCAGGAATCTCTTTGCCCCGTCTAAGCAGCCCTTCTATGCGGCCTTTGGAAACCGTCCAAACGTAAGTGTGTCTTCTGGGCTACACACTCGGATGTGGTGTGTGAAACTCAGAGGAGTGTACTTTTAGGGTATAGCCCTGTGTTAGTTCTCAAACCAGTTGTATAGGCACAGTGAATGTCTGTTCTGCTGATATCTGCTGTAAATTTTCTCCAGCGGTCAGGAAGGGCCTGTCGGTGGAGATGTGCCCCAGAATGTAGGTGTGTGACAAAGGGCACGCCCTCTGTGGCTTCCATTCCATTTCCTCAAGCAGTTCCGACTGCTTGAGGAAAGTCTCTGTGGCTTCCATTCCATTTCCTCAAGCAGTTCCGACTCATGTTCTGAGTGATTCTAAGCCGAGTCTTGGATTCACCCCAGAACCAGGTCTCGAGGGCCCCCCTTGATTACCGCTTCCCATCTGCTGCTCCGAGGCCCCTGGCGTCTCCGTGGCGCCCAAATTTTCTGGCTTCCCGAGCGCCCTCTGCGGTGGCTCCGCTCTTGAGTTTGTGTGTGTCTAAAGCTCGGCTCCAGTGGCAGAGCTGCGCCGCGCCAGCTTCACGTGATTTCCGTACACAGTCTCCTGTTGAGGCGATTTTCTGGCTCCCAGGAACCGCAGGACCATCTCCTCATTTCTTCTCTCTGTAATCACCCTGCCCCATGTTTTCTGCTGCAGGATGTCTACGCTTACACACAGGTTGGAGTTCCAGACTGCAGGATCTTCACCGTGAACCCCAAGGGTGAGCTGATACAAGAGAGGACCAAAGGAAACAAGTCGTCGTAAGTGCGTTCCCAGCCCTCAGCCTGGAGCCCCGCAGCCAGGGGCCAAGGATCAGAACTGCACCTGCCTCTGCAGGCTTTCCTCTCTGCCGGGGTGTCTCCTCCTCTGCCGTAGCTGTTGCAGGGGGTTGCTGAGGGGCCTAGACTTTGAGGAGGGTGGCAGTGCCCTGAGAAGGAGGCCTGTCTGGGATCTTTCCCATCTGTGGAATCTGAGTAACTGGCTGTACAACCTACAGTCTGTGCTCCCAGATCAACTGATGAATAACAGTTGCTGTGCTTCCTCCCCACTTCCTTCTGCCAGGTATCACAGACTGAGCGAGCTCGTGGAACACGTGTTCCCACTTCTCAACAAGGAACAGAATTCCGCCTTTCCGTGCCCGGAGTTCAGCTCCTTCTGCTACTGGCGAGACCCGATCCCTGAGGTGGACCTGGACGACCTGGCCTGAGGCCGCACCTCCAGCGGGAGGCCCTCCGTCACTCGCCACGCAGCAAGGGAAGGTGACCAGCCCTTCTGCTGGACAGAGGACATGGGGTCCCCTCCCGGCCACAGGTGTGGGACAAGACGTGCTGACAGTCGGGCACCAGCAGGGACGGGAAAGCTGCTGGGGCTGGAACCGCCTTCCCCCTTCCCCCTCCCGGGCCCTGAGGGGCTGCTGTTCGGTGCCGCGGCCGGAGCCGCGAGGGGAGCTCGGGCCTGAGGCCGGAGGCCTGGGCTCTTTTCACTGGCCTGTCCTCCCATCACTGGCCTGTCCTCCCACACGCTCTGTGTTGTGTGCTGGGTGCTCCTTTAATTGCCTGATTTAAAAAGAAGGAAAAAGAAGCTAAGAGTGGACCAAAATGTTGCACAAAGTAAAGTGTTCTAATTTCCACTGGGCAGTTGAAAGTGTTTCTCTCAAAAGGAGGGCCTTCTTCAGGGGATCAGGGTCCAGTGGTGATGTCGGTCCAAACCGCCTGTGCACATTTCTTCTGTGGCTCCTCCCTCCCTGCTCCACGGAAACGGGACGCTTGCTCGGGCCCCCGGGGTGACAAACGTGGGCTGCGGGGGAACATAAGGTCCTTATATCATTGCCTTCTCACCTGTGACTATTCCACGGTGGGGACCTGAACTGAGGTGTCGTGTCTCGGACTGGCAGGAAGGAGCAGGTCTTGCAGGATGTATGTGATGCCCGTAAGAGCCTTCCTAGCAGCAGGAGTTGGTTAAACAGCAAGGAACAGCTCTGTTCTTAGGGAGGCCTTGGAAATGCAGGTGAGCACTTGTGACGGGTCCTGGGAAGGGTCCTTTCTCCGTCTCCCTGCCTGCAGCCCAGTTTCCCAGCCTGGTTGTGATGAGCTCTTGTCGGACCCGAGCAGGCCGCCCCAGAGAAGGGGGGTTCTATCCACAAGCCTCTGCAGAGCTGTGAGCACGAGCCTGCAGAGGTGAGGCTGGGTGTGGACGGTCCCCTTGGTGTTAGAATCGAGAAGACTATTAGACAGGAGCTCTCCTGAGAGCAGCAGGGCCCACACACAGTCCTGCGTTGGGTGAGAGAGCAGTGGGCAGGTTCCAGAGCGGAGGGCGGGCGCCCGATGGGAACGCTGCAGAGCAGTGCAGGCACGGCCCCCGGCCCCCACGGTTTCCTTTCCCACCTGCGCTTTCCCTGTGCTGGTCTGGCAGGGGCACTCTTCCTTGTAGTTTGCTCCACCGAAATAATAGCTGATCTAGAGCTGGGGAAATGCGGGCGGTTATTTTCCAGATTGGAGAGTTGAAAGTCCCTGACTCGGTTGAGCCGTGTTTCCCAGTGCTGTTGGGTGCAGGGACGATGGCACAGTCCCCGGAACGCAGCTCTCAGTGGCAGAGGCTGGCGGAGCCACACACGCTTCCTCCGGTGCAAACCGTCCCACCGTAAATAGCTCAAGGACTCATCATTTAAAGAATTTATTTATGTACAGTAGGCCAGGGAAAATAGGTTGTGCTTGTATGAAGTTCTGCCCAGTTAGTGAAATCAATTCCTTGTACGGTGGCCCTGCAGTTACTTCATCTCATAGATGCCATCGGCCTGTCGCCCCACGTTTGCTTTAGGCAGTTACCCTGAGCTTCGTAGGGCTTCGCTCTGTGCGGTACGGAAATCTTGATAACGCACCTTCTGTAGTCTTTTGTTGGCTGTCCTTTAAGGAGTTTCTGACTAGACACTTTCTTTTTCTCGATAAGCTCTTCTCTCTGGACACAGGGGCATCTTAGAGGGTCAAACCTGGGAACCCAGGTCTCCCGGCCCTGCACGGAGGGTGGCTGACCCCTCTGCCTGGGGGCCATCAGCACTAGACTTTATCATTTTGTCACCGCAGATTGATCCAGTGGGTACATATGCTAATTAACCTGAGTCTTTTTCCTTATTTAAAGGAGTCCCTTTTGCTGAAAGTAGATGATTACTATTACTATAGTGTTAAGAAAGTATTAAGTTTGTGCGAAAATCCATTGCCATTTGGTACAAATGACATTTGTTCTTTCTGTGAAAGAGAGATGCCCTCGAGTGTGTTTGTACACAGACCCTTCTGATGGGAGCTAATGAAGGAGCAGCAGCCTCTCGCTGCTTTCGGGGACGGGCAACGTCACGGGGGGGGGGGGGGCAAGGGGGGCTGGGCTCTTCTAATCGCTCTCTCCGCTGCTCCACTGGTGAAATGGCCGTGGCCCCTTTCCCTCTTTCCAGTCCAACCCGACTTGAGTATCTGCCTTGGTGTCCGCGTGCTAAAGCTTGTATGGCTCTAGTGTTGACATCTGCATCTCTGCAGGGCTTACGGAGTGCGCGCGTGGGCCCAGAGCATGCAGACTTGGCCCGCGTGTCCGTATCGTGTTTGCTGTGCTTTAAAGTGCTTTAAAACATCTGCATAGTTTTCAGCTGGAAAAAGAAAAAGCTTACTAGTGTGATGTCATGAAATGAAAGCTGTTGACAGTCTAGGAACAAGAGCCAGCTCACCATCCGGAAAGTACGCGTGCCTTTGGCCGCACGTGGCCCTTCTGGAGGGTGTCCTCGAAGCTGCAGGCAAGACCGAAGAAATGGGCAGAGAGTAAACTCTCAGGTTTTGCAAGTTGGTGAAAACAGACTCTCCCAGGGAATTTTATCATCTTTTCAAGTATCATCATAGTTACTCTGGGAAGCCTTGTCTTCCTCTGTTTTAGAGAATGCTGGGTTTAATGAAACTGGTTGAAGATTGAGTTTTTGTTTAAAGTAAGTGCTCTTTCCAGGTGAAAACTACTTTTTTTGGTTTGTTTTAAAGGTAAGAAAGGGAAGGGAAAACTTTACTCTTTTAATTTAATCATTACGTTCAGTCTGTGATGACATATTTGATTATTAGGCACAGCAGTGCCACTAACAAGTTTTTTAAGTTGTCAGAAATTGTAAACATCAGTTCAGTACTTAGTTTATGGCGAAGACAACTGTCTTAAGATAAATGGCTCATTTTGGTGCAGTGTTTGATGTTCAAAACAAAATGTTACAACAATAAACGAACGTAAACTGAATGCATCTGACTCTCTCCTTCAGAGGACATTAAATCCTCTTCTCTAAACTCTTGCCAGAAATTGATAATTTCCATAAATTAGCATTTTGATCTTTGCTGACACTTAAATTTGTGTATAGAAAGGACTTCTTTTTTGGTGCTTGTGTTTATAAAACCTGACTCCAGAGTGAGGCTACACCCACAGGAGCTAACCTCTCTTGCTTTGTAGGTTCTGCCAGGCAGTGACCCATTCATACATATGTGATTTCTAGGGGAGTCTCCCTGGCACCCTCCAGGCTGCTTCCCCCGCCCCTCGGCCCTTCAGGGGTCCCCTGAGCGCCTTGCATTAAACCCTTCCTCTGGGTGAATACTACTTAGCCGTCCTGATGTTTTCATCAGCTGTTAGGAGAGTCAAAGTGGTCTTGGATCAAAAACCACATCCCCCGTGTTATGTTATTCGCGTATCTTTATCCCCCAGACGGCTAAGCACACACTGAGCCTGCGGGCTCTCACTAGCCGCTGGAGAGTGCGCCTGCCTCCACGCGGGGAAGCTGCCGCTTTGTGCTTGTTGGCCACTCGAAGCAACAGAGTGGGCTGGGCGAGAGGTGGGGGGTGGGGGGGAGGGGGGAGCCGCGGCTCTGTGTGGTGTGCTCCGCGAGAGGAGGGAAGAGCTCAGACAGGGAGGTTCACGATCAGGAACTGGAACTGGCCGCCGGCGCTTGGGCAGGAGCCGGGGAGTGCCGAGAGCCAGTCTCCACCACGGCCCCCGCTGCGCCACCAGACTCTGCGCTGTCCTTTCCCGTTGATGGGATGGGACGGGGACAGCGCGCGTGGATGTTTAGGAAGTGGGTGTGGATGCGTGTAAAGCCACGTTTCACATGTCTCTGATCACAAATACGTCTTTCCTTTCAAACTGCAAATTGTGAGAAATAAGATGATAGGGTCACTGAGAAAGGTTAATGCACTAACACGGGAGTGACGTCAAATGAGGTGTGCACTGATTTGCGGTCTTTACCGCTGGTCGTCTTTCGTTGTTTTTCACCATTTAAGTGTGAGGCCATTTGCTGATGTTAGATGTGGGGGCAGAACGTCCCGGTCCTGTCTCTGCTTCTCTCGGGAGGGGGGGGGGGCGCCCTGACCTTCTTCTCAGCAACCCCTTGTTTCAGAAGTTGTAACCTTGTGCCTGATTGGAGTCCAGGGGCCTGGTCCACACGTCTCACTCCCAGGCTCACAGCGCCAGGCCACTGACGTCTGGAGGAGCTGCTCCGAGCCTCCCAGCCTGAGCTCAGCCCAGATTGCTTCTCTCTGTGCAAGAGGACAGCCTTTCCCTTCTACAGACGCCGACTCCTGTGAACCACGGTCCAGCTTTCATCCCATTGAAGTCAACGCAGGACCCACTGCAGTCGTGGATAGAGAGCGGAACTTCTTCTCCGTTGTCAATAAATGAGTCAGGATGCACCGGCAGAGGGGGTGTTTCACTTACTGCTCTAAGCACCGGCTGTGGAGTGGAGGAAAGTAATTCTCTGCCTTCTGTCTGCTCCCTGCCTTTCCGGCTATTGAGCATTTGTCCCCTTTGGCACCAGGTAAGGTCTTTAAAGGGGGTGTGAGGTGGAGAGGGCAGAAGCGTGTGCCCACTGGGTTTTCCTGAAAATGCTCCACTGCAGTGGGGTTTTTCCCATGAGTCATTTCTAGGAAGCCACAGCTAGCCAATTCCCCAGCTGTAGAGATGGGACAAGCGTGCTGGCCCACCCCCATGCTGCGGACAGAGAGGCCCCGCCTTCCGTTCTTGGCCCCTTCGCCCTAGCTGGTGGAGGGGGTGAGGGAGAAGGCCGGCCTCTCTGTCCACTGGCCGCCCTGGGCTCTCATTTGCAAGCAGTCCTGGAAAAAACATTCTTACAGCATAAGAGAACCTTGGTGGCTTGATGTCAGCCAAGGAAACTTGTTTCTATTGTCCACATCTTTCCCTGGGGCTCTGGGGAGCCCCAGTGGCACTTGGTTGGCCAACAGGTTTTACCAACCTGATGAGCAAAGACCACGCGGAGCTAAGGGTCTGGTGTGGCTGCCCGTAGAGGAGTGAGGGGCCTGGGCTTCCCGGGAACAGAGCGTGCTCTCCACGGGAGGAGTCCTGCTTTCCTCAGATGACCTCGGTGTTCAGTGTGGTCGGTTTTGTGTTGGGCCTCTTGTTGCCTGGGAGCTCAGGAGTCCTTACAGCTGCATCTGCTGCGAGCTGGGCAGCTGCGGGTTCAATGTGAATGTCCAGCGCCCCCTGGAGGAGCCCCCTTTTCAGCTGTGGGGCTCACATGGGGACTCTGACCTCCAAGCACATCTAGTCTGTCTGTCTTTACAAGCCAAGAACAACCCCCAAGTGCACGGCGTGCATGCTGAGGGATAACAGTTGCATG